AGCAAAACCCGCAGCTATGGGGCCGTGCACGGGGATGGGGTCAGGATGGAAAGGAAGGAGGGACTGGCTCTTAGCACTCTTGCATTTTGCAGTGGCAGGGGAAGCTCTTTCTCTGATTGTTCTCTCCTCCTCCTCCTCCTCCTCCTCCTCCACCACCACCACCACCATCTCATCCTTATCGTCACCAGTGGCACCAGTGCTCTTCCCAGTGGACCGTGTGCTCCTGAGGTTGCTGGTTCTTCTGGAACTGAGCAGTGTCCTTCACTAAGGCAGGCAACAGGGGGTCACCGTTCCCCCACCCCCCAGAAACCCCCTTGCCCTCCAAAGGACAAGCGCCTCCTCACAGGAAGGGCTTCTGCGCTCAGCCGGGAGACGGTGGCGTAGAGCTGCCCCAGTGGAAAGGCCCAGGTGGGCAGGAATGTGCAGCATCTGTGGGGGGGGGGAGGTTTGCCCCTTGCCTGCACCTGCAAAAGGGAACAGGTGATTTGCGTGGAAGGAGAGGAGGAGGGAGTCACTTAGGCTCAGCTCTGCGGGCCCTCGAGCATCGCACGCTTGCAGGGCCCATTTCAAAGCCTAAACTGGCCTCCCCCAGCCAGGCTCCTCTGGATGTGCTGGACAGCAATGCCCATCATCCCCAGTCAGCATGGCCCTTGCACTAGCCCTTCGTCCTTCAAACGGGTGCATTCTACTTCTACAGTGAAACCGTGAACTCACCAGCACCTTGTGCAAAAGGCTGATAAAGCCATGCAAGCAAACTATGTATTATTCACCTTGCATTCCGCCATACTAGTCCGAAGACTCTCTAAGTGGAAAGTTAGCCTTCCTCCTCCTCCTCCTCCTCCTCCTCCTCCTCCTCCTCCTCCTCCTCCTCTTGCTGTGAGCTGCAAGGCAAATGGAATCATCAGTACTGATCCTGAGTGCCGTCCGCAGCTTCCTTGGCCTCCTTCTGTTTCACTTGCGCCGCACTGAACAGAGACTGCAGGAGAAAGGGGTGGGAGAGGGGCTCCGTGCCAGCGGCGGCGTGGGAAGTGGTGGGCTGCACGGGGAGGGCCTTGCACGAGAAAAGCAAGGAAGGGGCAGGAGCACCTTGGGAGGAGGGGCTAGAAGGAGGTGGCGGCGGATATGGGGACACGTGCCCACACCGTCTTGTCATTGATGAGAGAAGCCGGTTGGGCGCTGGCCCCTGATCCAGCTGAACCTCGCGGAGGCTCCTCCGTTGCCGTTTCTGTATTAACGAAAGACTCTTGCCGCCAACATCTCAGCTCAGATTAGATATTCATACTGTGCCCTCTTTCCTGTCGGCATAATTACAAGGCTCTTCAGGTTGTCTGGCTTTCCAGTCGTGTTGCTGATTCGTTTTGCTTTGAGCTGGGAATTCGGCAGAAGTTGCAAAGACATACCATACTTCTTTCTGGTTGGGGTGCTGGGCGAGGGATGAAGCCTCTGTGAATTCTTTACAGTAGATTGACCTGGGATCTCCCTGGGTTTTGGAAGGGTGTGTGTCAGGATGGGTGGAATTGAGAGACACAAATGGAAAGATGCTCAGTGGCCGAATTTCACACTGTGCAGGATTTGGCCTAGCCCAGGTTCCCCTAACCGGGTCTCCTCCCAGTGGTTTGGACCAACGGTCAGGAACACTTGTAGCTGACCATCGCAATGTACCTTCTGGTTGAATGGGTGCACTTAAAGGATGCATACATTCAAACATGTCAGCAACTGGTGCATATCTGTGAAGAAATATGCAGATTTTTATGTCAAGTGGGGGGGGGGTTGCATGCTGATCAAATGAGCTGTGAGATGGAATTTGGAGAATTTTGGCACGCCCTTGCTTTGCACGTGACAAATTCAACGATGGTCATTCAGGTTGCTTGGAGCTGTCCCCTTTTGCTATTTGCTGAAAATGGTCCCCCACCCCAAAGCTTGGGGAAACCCAAAAGTGGGTGAAAGGAGACCCACATTGAGGTTAAATAGTGAACATCCTGTGGATTTTCTGCCGCGGAAACTGCCTGAGGTTGCCTCCTTGCATGTCCTTCCCTGCCTCTGCACCACAATCCTTCCTATTCCTGAGGCCTCCGTCGCAACCACGGGCCGCCACCGGAAGAGATGTGACTTCCAAGCTCCGAGCCTGGGTGGTTGTTGGAGAGGCCGTTCCCTTCCCAGTGGAGTCGACCTTGCCTGTGTCATCTTGGTCTCTTCGTAGAAACTAGAGAGAACTTTGCTGGCTCCTGTTTCCTAAACATTTGTGTCAGTTTTGGAGCCCAGGCCATGTCTAAAAATGATAAATGGCCCATCATGTGATGTTATGAAGTAATCCAAAAAGGGAACGCTTGTCTTCTCGCCTGCTTATTGTTGTTCATCATTTTAGTTTGCTGAATGATTGTGACTTGCGTGCTCACAAAGACGAGGCTTTCCTTTTTGTTGCGATCCTCCTCTTGGGAGGCTCCATGGAGGATGCAGAGCTCATGGTTACTGCCCTGAGGTCCGTTGGAGCTTTCTTAGCTGCCGCTTCTAGGCTTGGCATCCTTAAAAATAAACATTTTAAGTGCAAGTATGATGTTCTTTTTTGGCATGGATGAAATCTGTCTTTCTTCGGAAAACAAAGATGAACTTTATTCTCAGCTGGTGAAATTAGGCAGCTGTCCTGCTGGTTTCATTTGGGGGTCGCGGTCCAGCTTTTTGGGGGGAGGGGGCGATCCAGGAACAGGGTTCCCATCCTTTCCTTAAATTGTGCTTTCAAGGGAGAAAACGGGGCTAAGTGCCCCAGCATCAGCATTACTCATGAGGGGACCCTTCTCAGCATCCACCATCACTTCCTCTCCACCAGGCCATGCCTTGAGAGCCGCCTGCTCCCTGGCTGTGCCTGTTTCTTGGATGCCACCTCCCCAACTCCGACGGGATTTTGAGAACTTTAGATCAGCTATCAGGTGTGTTCCACAAAGCTAACCCTGCCCCATCTCCCATGTGGGGAGGCAGCTTGATTCATTTTGCTCCAAAACCTGCCTGAACATTTCTGAAGCATTTCAGTTAAGAGGACCTAAAATTCACCTTGAAATTGTTGCTGTAAGATAAATTCTGAAGAAACTCTAGATGTTCAATTGCTAAACTTGATCAAAGCTTACACCAATATAAGTGTAAGGAGGGATGGGGAGAATCCAGTTGTCTCCGTCCATCTGTCTGTCTGTCCTTAATCCTCTGGAAAGGTGATGGCTATAAAAATAAGGTCTTGGGAAAGGCAGCGGATCCGGGATCCAAATTCCGTGGTGTTTGGCCCAACATGGAAGCCGGAGTGTACTGTTCATGGGGCATTTGCCACGCTGGGCACAATCCAGCCCAGGGCACACGCTCAGAGGGAGGCGGGGTGGGGTTTGCTTCAGATTTTGATAAAAGTTCCCCGACCTTTGCAAATCTCTCCATGTTTGAGAGAAAAACATGGGAGAAATCTGACATGCCGGTTTTGTCCATCCATACCCAGGACCTGGCGTGCTTTGCTCTTAAGCGGGTTCAGCCAGGTCAGGGCTGAAACCGGGCAGGCACCCCCTGTTTTCTGGCAAGTGCCTCATCTTGGGCAGCATGGCTGCCTCCACGCTGGGAACAGTGGAGCCCGCTGAATCCGGCCAGTGCAGGCAGGCGTGAGGTTTGCGCCTGCTGGCTTCCGTGCCCCTGCAGCCGCTTGCAGGCCTCTGCAACCGAGAAAAGGGATTGGGGGGGGGCGGGGGGCAGATTCTGGGGCTGCATCAAATGGCGCGCTTGAGTGCGCGCATGTCATCCGAATGCGGGTTTGCTCAGCGCCTGGTCCTTCTGGGCCGGCCTGCCTCTTTCCTTCTGTCCCCTCGGCAGTTTCTCTTTCCGCGTGTTCGGCTCTGCTCCATCCCATCTCCCATCCGCTCAGGGCAGGATGGGACCCCCAAAGTCCATCTAGTAGCGCTTATGCGGGGCGGGGGGCACGCCCTGCTAAACGGCGCTCGCCCGCCCGTTGCCCCCTGGGGCAAGATGTTCCTCAGACACCCCCCGGTGGGGGCTCCACAGCCACCCAGTACTGCCAGTGTGCGTGTGCGTGAGTGGAGTCAATGTCAGGAAGCAGAGCGACAGAGCGGGGTGTCCCCCCCCCCCGCACTTTGGCGGACGCCTGCTGCCCAGCGGCACGTGCCGTCGGGCCTGCCAGGTATCGCCGGGACCTGACGGACTGCGCTAGAACTCCCCAACCCGCTCCCGCGTGAGCCAGGCCGGCTGCCCCCCTGCCCAGAAATCCCTCGGGTGGATGCTCTTAATCACTTGGCTTGGGAAGTGTCTCGATTCACAGCCCAGGGTTAGTGCTGGAGACGGAAGCCGGGAAATAAATCTCCCGAGGTGTGGATGCAGTTCCTTCCCGTCTTTGCTTCCCCCTTCCAATCATCCAGTTTGCCCCCCTTGTGCTCCGGTGTGGTCATATCTTTTCACCAGTCATTTCCACGGCACTTTATCAAGATCAGAAGCACTTTTTGATCAGGTCTGCTTGCCAGCAGTCCTGGAATGCAGACAGGGAAACACATTTAAAATGCTAGCATCTCCCAGCCAAATCTACATGTTTCTGGGGAAGCTCCCATTTTACAGGTGAAGGACTGAGGCTGGGCTGGGCGAGACTACCAGAGAATGAGCACATGGCTGATCAGGCACTGGCAAACAAGCAGAAGGCGGTCCAGAAGCCATGCCACCTGTGGGCATCTTCTGTGTCCGTACGCCTGTGGAGGGCAGGACTCCCCATGCCCAGTTTCCCCCGGCAGCCTCCACTGCAGAGCCCTGGGTAATGCCTGGGCGAAGCAAAGCGGCAGTTCAGGCGCCCGCCGCTTAGCGGGGATTCCTTCGGCGAAGGGGAGCCATGGGGAGATCTGTGGGACAGGCCCGTGGCTGAGTGTGGCTCTTAGAATGAGTTCTGCCCCGCCTCACCTTGATCACCGGCTGTGCAAGCACGAGGCCTCACTCCTCTCTCCCTCCTCTCTCTCTTTGTCATTTGTTCTGCCCAGGAAAATGCACAGCGGGATGAAGACGTATGGATGTGAGCTGTGCGGGAAGAGATTCCTCGACAGCCTGCGCCTTCGCATGCACTTACTGGCTCATTCAGGTGAGTTCTGAAGCTGGAAGGTGACGTGGGCTTTGCTTGGCCAGGAATTGGGATCCGAGGAAACCGGGATTTTTAAGGGCTTGAATTCTCCAGCATCCGCAGCAGACACCGAGATGCACAACAGAGCTGACATCAGGAGGGTGCCTCTGTTTTGGGAGTCCTCCTTCATTGGTGGGGGGGGGGTGGAATTGGCTTCCTGGTGTCTGGGGGGCATTAACCCTTTCTGCCGAGCTGTACCCCTGCCCGGCCTTCTGCTGGCAGAGATGGGAAGCTTCCTGCCCAGTATGAGTGGCAGTGAATCCCTACAAAAGGATTCTCGGGGGACCCCAGCTTGCAGAAGTCGAGGGGTCACCTCCCCCTTGTCAATGGGAAAAAAGAAGCCCAGCATATCAGTTCAGTACTGAATGCCACATCCCTTTTGGCTCTTGTGTGCGCTGACAAAATCAGTTTATATTATCGGAACCGACGATGCCGTGCAATTCGCCTTCCTAATCCCCCTCAAGTACAATTCAAGGTGAGTGGGGGTTTCTGCAGGTGCGGTGTTGAAATCCGTCCCTCTGTGCTTCCAAAATTGTCTTCTCCCACCAAAGAGGCTTGTCAAGGCGTTGTAGGGTTAGTTTTGAAGGTCTTTGAGTTGTGGTTTTGAGCTGCGCTTACCCTCATCCGGTGCCTGAGGGACAATCTTCTTCTTTCTGCCTGCTGCCCCCAATGGATTGCTCTGCAGCCCCTCGGTCACCTGCACTTCCTGATCTGAAAAAGCCCCAAAGGACAGGGTGCCACCGGGAAGCCACGGAGTCCGCAGCCTGGGCAGGGAAAGACCGGAAATGTGTGCTCCCCCTGCGTGCACAAGCCCCCCCTGCCCCCCGCAGGAACTGCACAGAATTCTTCTTTTCCTCTCCTTCCCACCACTGCCAGAAAGACTTGTTTTCAATCCGATTGTATGAGAATTGCTCAGAAAAAATACAGCAGCTATTCTGGGCACAGAAATTTTCTGTCTTTCAGAAAAGGGAGCTCATGAGCCCAACTAGAGCTTGGTGAGGTCTCCAAATCCCACCTCGCAGCGCCTTTCGATTTGTGTGCACATCGGGCGGCAAGCAACACTTCTTCCTTTTTGCACAAACATTCATTCCTGGGCCTATTTTCCCAAATGTACACAATTGCACACAATTTTGAAACAGCTGTACTTTTCTCCCCTTGATGAAGGCAAGCTTGCGTGCTTTCTAAAAGATGTTCCATTTGCATTTGCACACAAAAAAGAAAGCCTCTCTTGGGCATGCGAGCTGGAAAGGGCGCCGAGCCACACAGCACACACGGAGCAAGGTTTTGCAGGGAGAGTGGCTGTTTGCTCTCCACCGGCTCTTTCTGGCAGCTGCTCATTGCCTGGTTTTTCTGTCCTTCGCTCTGAAATGCTCCTGCCCATGATGAGGTTGCTTGTGAAGTGACAGCTTGCATTCCCTGCCACCACCCAGGGCAAGGACCCCTGTTTTGTAAGGGACCGTCCTCATCTTGGATTCAGACAGCCTTCCTTATTTTGCACAGACTATTTGTTATCCACAGTTTGGTGCATGGGCTGTGTCAGTTGAAGAACGAGGGACTGAAGACAGGGGAGACGGTGCAGATGCCCAGCCTCTGGGTACCACTTTTGTGAGTACATCCTCCGGGATGCCATGAGCTTGGTCAGCGAGGTCTTAGTCCATGTTGCAGATGAATACAGGGGCTGAGAGAGATGAATGACACCCTGTGAGCTCGCAGCCTACTCGGGATGTGAGCCAGTGACTTTCTGGTAGGGCAAAATACAGGTGGTTGCAAACCAACCCTGCTTCACAGTCCCAACCCTAAGCTGTAAACTGGAACACCGCTGTCCTTTAATTTTTACATTTCTTCACATTCCAAAATTGAGCAATTCTCTAATAATGAAAAGCATTGGAATGTGTACTATAAAACATGAAGGAAAATGTGCATGAATGTTCCATGTGCATGAATATTTGAAATGGGATAGAATAAATGTGTGCTTGGAAAATAGCGGGTTTCATGGAAAGCGCGGCAGGTCCGTCCATCCTTCGTGGTCCATCGCTTCATGAAGGCTGCCTCAGTTGGCCAGTTGGAGACCTGGGCGGGGGGCAAGGAGCAAGGGCAGGGGGCTGCAGCGCGCCACAGAACGGCCGGGCAATGCACCAGCCTTCCTTCTGGGAATTCTTTGTGGTGGACTTTCAGGCTCTCCTTCAGGCTCCCTGAATTGCATGTAATACACTTCCGATGCTTGAGCTACAGTCCAGGGCGTGCCCTTCAAACGATCATCCGGGAGCCATTTTCTAGCTAGTGAACGGCTTGGGTGAAGCTTTTATACATGTCCAGAAGTCCCCAGAGCCGCATCATCCCATTCCTGTGCCCGGCACCTGAACAGAACGGATGCTGCGCATGGCCTTGACCGGCGGCCGTTGAATCTCACCTGCCGTCGTGCCATTTGGTCCTGTCCCACCAGCATCTGGTGGAGACCGACAGGGCTCCTTCCACCCTCCTGGCCTTCGCCACCAACAAATGTTTCTCTTTGCAGATGTGTTGCAAATGCTGCATTCCCCACATTTGAACGTCCGCTAAAACGCCATTAGTATAACGGTTGCAGAATTAGGCATTCGGTTCATTTAATGAATCTTGCTATTGGGTTCAAATTATACAGGGTCTTCAATTAAATGTACAGAGAGGGGTAGAATGCTAAGAGAGTGAGCAGGCGCAGCACTCTGTGCGCCAATTGAGTCCCCGAGTTCCCTGCATGGGCAGCGCCAAGCGCGGTGACAGGATATATTAATATCAAATCCAGGGCTCCGAGCGCTGCTCATTACATGGCCAAAACTAGGGATGGACGAATGAGTGATGTCTGAGATTGCGAGGCGCCTCTGCACCTCGGCCTCTCGCTCATCTGCCTACCGGATTCCTGTTTGCCTTTGTGACCACTGCCCATTTTGCACGATTGGGAGAACTGTGCGAAACAAACAGCAGTTGCACACGGATGTTGAGCAATGCCCCCAGATTTAAATGAGCATTCCCAGAGCCTCTGGGTTCAGGCTGTGGGTAAATTTGAGCAAATTGGGAATTTTGTGCAACTCAGTTGGGGGAAAGTTGCACAAAATCAAATGTGAACAAATTCGGCAATTTGCGAACATTTCCAGCAGACGTGGGTTTGGGGTTGCAAAGGGGGCAGCCTTGGGGGTTTCATGAGCACAAATGAAATTCTGATTCATAGCGCTGTCCATAGTCCCCTGCAGGCTTGGGGTTAAATTAAGGCTTGCGCAAGAGATCCATGGGGGGAAATCCATGGGCAGCCCAGAAAGTGGGGGTGCAGGAGATCCAGGACCTGCAGGGATGCAGCACCTTCTGCTACCGGCTGCCCGAGTTTGTTCCTGCTGGAATTTGGGGCAAGCATCCCAGCAGTGGGGCAGGGCAACAGGGAGAGGTTCTCTCAGCAACAGCCTGCTCTCCCCTGTTGCGCTTCAGAGTTCTGTGGGGCGAGCAGTCCAGGCGCCTTCGCTGTGCACAGAACCTGCTCACAGTGGAGAGGGAAGCTCCCCGGATGGGCTTGTTGCGCTGGGATGACAGTCGGCACACCTCAGGGGCGGTGCCGAGCTGGTTTGGACTGACGTAAGGAGAGGAGCACAGTTTTTGGTAGCCTCCTTATTTCCACCCGAGAGAAGCATTCACTGCAGACCAATTGGCTATCCTGCAGATACGGGGGACTACAACTCCCATCTGCCCCAACCAAGATTGCTGTTTGGCATGGCTGGCACCTACCAGGTTGTGAGAAGCCCCTGGATGTGTTAATTCGTGCTCTGCAGTGTTGGACAGGAGGACAGCAGAAGGAGGCTTTTGGGCTGAATCTGGGAGGTAGTGGGTAGTGAAAGAGGGTGCCAGGCCAAAACCTGTTCATTTACCCAGTGTTTTAATCGTTAGATAATATATTTTTTAATTATTGCATTTTAACTCAAGATCTGGCTCTCTGGGGTCTTTTCATTGCCTCGGTGTTTCAAGTTTTGCAAACTGTCTGTCTGGAGATTTCCTGGAAATAAAGACTGGCTTGGAAAACCTTAAATAAACGAGTGGATGCGCAGAGCAGGCTGTGCTTGATACCGGCCTCTGGGAGCAAGAGGGTGAGCGGTGCAGGATCGCGCCGCTGCTCCGAGGCCAGGGCCGCCGAGCCGGGGGCGGGCAGCCCCTCCCCGCGCTCCGCCTCGCCCGAGGCCGGGTGGCCGGAGCGGCACGGCCGTCCTCGGGGCTCTCGCTGCGCTGCCCCTCGCCGGAGCACGCGGAGTGCCTCTGTTTGTTGTTCTGCGCTTGGCCTCGTGCCAGGCGCTGGCTGGCTCCCTGCCTGCTTTGCGGGTACAGTATGTACAGTCTGTGCCGAGCCAAGTTTGTCATCATGAAAGATTAATTTTTTTTCTTCCTGCCTGCCCGGGTGGGAGGGAGGGGGCCGCTCCGATGCTCAAAAACAGCCGCGTGAAATTCCAGCACTCCGGTTTGTGCAAGCGCCGGCTCCCATCGGGCATTTTTCTCTCGGCCTTCTCTGCTCCCGCGGCTTCTCCCTCCCTTCCCACATGCAGCCCCAGCCCACGGCACGTCGGCCAAGTGAGGCCCCCGTTGACACGGAGAGCCCTGCCTTTGGGCTCGGGAGGAGACGCCCGCACCTCATTTCAGTGGAAATCGGTGGGCCGGCTGCCCCCTCCCCGTGCGTGCCCCCTTCCCCCACACCGCCTCTGTCGCTGCCTTCCGAGCACCCAACCTCGCTGCGGCTGCATTGTGAAATCAGTTTCGGAGAGACATCAACTCATCGAGTCTTTACAGGAATTAGTTGATAAAGGTAACTCTAAAAAAAGCGAAACAAGCTGCAAACATGCACATTTGTGGCAGGTGTGGCCCCTGGCGTGTCCTGTGAGGACCCAGGTTTGCCATCTGACCGGACGTGCGGGTGGCACGTTCACGTGGCACAGGAGCCGAATTGATGCCTGTCT